TCGTTCTCTACGAACTTGGTGAGTGGAGCTGACCTACAGGATGTGTGGGTTGACCAGTTCACCCCTGGAGGTCAGCGTGTGACCCACTGTACGTGCTCCCGGACTGGTCGGCACCTGGCCACGTTCACCCGAGTGCCTGGCTCGAGTCTGTACACACTGACTACTGTGTCCCCTCAGGTAGCTGCGTCTGCGTCTGCGTTTGCGTCAGGTCAGCTAGCGGCCCCCTGCTTGTGCCGCGCTTTGTCGCACCAGACCCTCCTTTGGCACCACCGCCTTGGTCACCCCTCGGTGCAGCGCCTTCGTAGCATGCACCGCCGTTTCCTTGTCTCTGGACTTCCAGAGACTCTGCCTCCTCTACCACCCTCGCCTGCTCCTCCCTGTCTTCCCTGTGTCGAGGGGCGGCAGCGCGCCGCTCCTCACTCCTCCTCGTTCCCTCCCACAGAGGCTCCCCTGCAGACTCTCTACCTGGACGTGTGGGGCCCAGCCCGCGTCCGTGGACAGGGCCACGAGCGGTACTTCCTGCTGGTCGTCGACGACTACACGCGTTACACCACGGTCTTCCCCTTGCGCAGCAAGGGGGAGGTCCCTGATGTTTTGATCCCCTGGATCCGCGCTGTTCGTCTCCAGCTCCGCGAGCGGTTCCAGTCGGACTTTCCTGTCCTGCGTCTGCACTCTGACAGAGGTGGTGAGTTCTCCTCAGACCTCTTGGCAGCCTACTATGCGGAGCACGGCATCCGCCAGACGTTCACGCTTCCGGCCTCTCCGCAGCAGAATGGGGTTGCTGAGCGCCGCATTGGCTTAGTCATGGAGGTCGCTCGTACCTCCATGATCCATGCGGCTGCCCCCCATTTTCTGTGGCCGTTTGCGGTCCGGTACGCCGCGCATCAGCTCAACCTCTGGCCCCGTGTCTCCTTGCCGGAGACCTCGCCCACACTGCTGTGGACGGGGAAGGTTGGCGATGCGTCGCGTTTCCGGGTCAGGGGTGCTCGTGCCTTTGTCCGCGATACCACCGCGGACAAGCTCTCCGCCCGCGCTGTTCCCTGTGTCTTCCTTGGCTTTGTCCCTGACGCGCCTGGTTGGCGGTTTTACCACCCCACCTCGCGCCGTGTCTTCCCCTCTCAGGACGTCACGTTCGACGAGTCGGTTCCCTTTTACCGTCTCTTCCCCTACCGCACTGCCCCTCTCCCCCCCCCGCCGCTCTTCCTCGCTCCAGGTGCTCCCCAGGTAGACCCCCTCCCCGCTCCCGGTCCTGCTCCTTCAGGTGTGTCTCAGGTAGACCCTCCTCCCTTGACTGAGCCGGTTGAGGTCACTGGTGACTCAGGTCCTGCTGAGGGTGGTCCTGCTCGGGGTGCTGCTTCTGGGGGTGCTGAGCCTGGGGGTGCTGAGCCTGGGGGTGCGGAGCCTGGAGGTACGGAGCCTGGGGGTGCGGAGACTGGAGGTGCTGAGCCTGGGTGTGAGGAGTCTGGGGGTGCTGAGCCTGGGGGCGCTGAGGCGTCTGGTGAGCAGTCTCCCTGGAGCGGCCGTCTCCGTAGTCGCTCCGCTGGTGCCTCGCCGCTGCACTCTAGTCGTCGACTCCCTCTCTCCCCACAGCAGCTGCTTGAGTGGTACGCTGGCCGTCAGGGTCGCGCTGCTGGAGCTAGGGGCCCTGCTGCGGGAGGCGCTGGAGCTAGTGACTCTGCCACTGGAGTTGTTTCTGCTGGAGGTTCTGGAGCTGCTGAAGGTGCTGGCGCTGGAGGTTCTGGAGCTGCTGCGGGTACTGGCGCTGAGGGTTCTGAGTCTGCTGTTGCGCGGTTTCCTTGGAGTAGCCGCCTTCGTCCGCGTGTGCCTCTCACCTCGCAGCAGCTGCACGACTGGTACGGTCGCCGTCAGGGTCGCGCTTCTGGAGCTCGGGGCTCTGCCGCTGGAGATACTTCTGCTGACGTCACTGGAGCTGGGAGTGGTGCTGGTCCCGGAGGTGCTCGTACTGGAGGTACTAGAGCTGCTGGGGCTGGAGGTGCTGAGCTTGAGGGTGCTGCTGCTGGAGGCACTGAGGCTGGAGACCCTGGGACTGGAGGTGCCGATTCTGGGGGTGCTGCTGTTGGTGGAGCTGGTCCTGGAGGAGCTGGCGCTGAGGGTTCTGGAGCTGCTGGAGGTGCTGGCGCTGGTGGCGCTGGAGCTGGAGGTTTTGGAGCTGCTGAGGGTGCTGGTGCTGGAGGTTCTGGAGCTGCTGGAGGTACTGGCGCTGGTGGCGCTGGAGCTGGAGGTTCAGGAGCTTCTGAGGGTGCTGGCGCTGGAGGTTCTGGAGCTGCTGGAGGTGCTGGAGCTGCTGGGGGTACTGGAGCTGCTGGTGCTGGTGTCACTGCACAGCCGCGCCTGTTCTTCGCTCCACCGTCTCCGTCGTCTCAGCCACCGCCTGACTCTGTGCTTCGCCAGGTTCTTAGTCTCCCTTCGTCTACTGGTCTTCCGTTACAGCCTGGCTCACCGCTGCCTGCTCCTTCTCCTTACACTGAGCAGCTAGGGGGTCTTACTGAGCGTCGTGAGCCTGCGTCGCGTCCTGTCTCGCCTCTCTGTTCTGGTTGTTCCGGTCGTCGTGTTCCTCGTCCGCGTCTGCCGGCTGTCCCCGACACCCACCTCGTAGTCCGTCGTCCTTCCTCTCCTCCGCAGCGTGTTCCTCTGCCGTCCCCTCCTGCGTCTTCTCTGCCTGTCGTTGCGGACCCCGAGTCTGACCGGTTTCGTGCTGAGCACCCTACTGTCACGCGTCTGCTAGCCACTGTTGTCACTGACCCGTCGTTTGAGTCTGCTGCTACGTCTGCCTTAGTTGCTGAGCTTGTTGACTTTGCTGCTGCCTGTCGTCTAGACTAAGCCGCTAGTCTTGTTGCTGAGTCTGAGTCTGTCTGTCCTCCGTCCGTCGGGGGTGAGTGTGCTCTTGGCACGAACGTCCTTGAGGACAGGCAGGAGGACCTTGCGTGTCTTGCAGCCGCTGCGCCTCATCTCGTGTCCATGCTGCTTGCCCCTGAGGGAGACCCGGATGCTCCAGACATCCCGACCCCGCGCTCTTACGCTGAGGCGATCGCCGGTGAAAACTCCTCTCAGTGGCAGACAGCCATGGACGCAGAGATGGCATCCTGGAAGTCCACAGGCACCTACGTCGACGAGGTTCCCCCACCTGGGGCGAACATCGTCAGTGGCATGTGGATTTTCAGGGTGAAGCGGCCGCCAGGTTCTCCGCCTGCCTTCAAGGCGCGTTACGTTGCACGAGGTTTCAGTCAGCGAGAGGGAGTAGACTTCTTCCAGACCTTCTCCCCCACCCCGAAGATGACCACTTTTCGGGTGCTGCTGCACGTTGCCGCTCAGCGTGACTACGAGCTTCACTCTCTTGACTTCAGCACAGCCTTCTTACAGGGCAGCCTGCACGAGGAGATCTGGCTGCGCCGCCCACCTGGCTTCACTGGGTCGTTCCCTCCTGGTACCCAGTGGAGCCTCAGGCGGCCGGTCTACGGTCTCCGCCAGGCGCCACGTGAGTGGCACGACACACTGAGGACGACACTTGCGGCTCTTGGGTTTGCTCCGTCGACTGCTGACCCGTCGCTGTTTCTGCGCACCGACACTTCGCTGCCGCCGTTCTACATCCTCGTGTACGTCGACGACTTGGTCTTTGCCACTGCTGACACTGAGGCTCTCGCCCTGGTGAAGTCGGAGCTGCAGAAGAGACACACGTGCACAGACCTGGGTGAGCTGACAAGCTATCTTGGCTTGCGGATCACCCGGGACAGAGCACGCCGCACCATCAGACAGACTCAGTCACACATGGTGCAGCAGGTCCTTCAGCGCTTCGGCTTCACCTGGTCCTCGGCACAGGCCACTCCTCTGGCTACAGGTCACTCGCTCTCAGCTCCACCTTCGGACGAGTCCGTAGAGCCGAGTGGTCCTTACCCAGAGCTAGTGGGCTGCCTCATGTACCTGATGACCTGCACTCGTCCTGACCTTGCGTACCCTCTTGGCCTTCTGGCTCGCTACGTGGCTCCTGGTCGGCACCGAAAGGTGCACATGGATGCTGCTAAGAGGGTACTACGCTACTTGTGCAGTACATCGGGCATGGGGCTCGTGCTTGGAGGACGGAGCGACGTTGTCCTCACTGGGCACTCAGACGCTTCTTGGGTTGACGACCAGGCTACGCAGTGGTCGTCACAGGGTAACACCTTCAGCCTTGGCTCTGGTTCGGTTTCTTGGCGTTCTACACGCTCGTCTTCAGTTCTCAGCTCCAGTTGTGAAGCTGAGATCTACGCCACAGCCATGGCTGCACAGGAGTTACGCTGGCTCACCTACCTGCTGACCGACTTGGGAGAGCGGCCTCGTTCTCCTCCAGTGCTGTACGTCGACAACAAGGCCGCCATTGTCTTGTGTCAGGAGCACAGACTGGAGCACAGAACGAAGCACATCGCTCTGCGTTACTTCCTGGCTCGAGAGTTGCAGCAGCGTGGTCAGCTTCGTCTTGCTCACGTGGCCATTCGGGCCAACACTGCTGATATATTCACCAAGGCGCTTCCGTCTGGTGATCATCAGCGTTTCAGCACTCTGTTAGGCCTTGTGCCCACGTTTCCTCACTTGCTGTAGACTTTGCTTGTACTGTGATCTATATATACCTGCATGCTTGCTCTGCCAGGTAGAGATCACTGTGCTGTTGTTTTTGCATATATACCCCTGCATGTGAACTGGCCTTGTAGCCCTTTGCTTGTGCTCAGTGTTTGTGGTGACGTTGTGATCCACCCTAAGCTTGCTTTGCTTCTCTTGACTGGTCTTGTGACCCCTTGCTCTCCCCCACTTTGCCTATGGGGGTGTGTCAAAGTATATGCATGTTATATATGTGTAGGCTGTAGTGGGGTAGCCAATATGGGGTACAGCCCCTTTTAGGGTTTCATACTTGTACCCAACTCTTTCATAGTTCATTCATTCCTGCTACTAGATTCTGACACTCCGCCCCGATGTTAATCAGCGCCCTGTGCACCTGCATCACCATCCCTTCATCCAGGTTCACACCCAGCTCTATCATACTGCCATACACCTGCGAGCATACATGCACACATGCAAAGAGCAGCGGAGGAGCATGAGAGCACCATTGGCAGAAGGCATTCCGTGGACCTGCATCACCATTACCCTCGTCCACATTCACACCCAGCTCTATCATGCTGCCGTACACCTGCAAGCATGAATAGATGCAGCGATGAAAGAGGGAGATGGGAGCATGAGTTTCAGTGATCGTCCTGTGAACCTGGTTGCATCACCAGTACATGCTCAGGCTAACTCTTGGCAATCCCATGGGGTCGCACAGAAGTGCTATAAACCGCACTGAAATGCACAGACGTACCTCGAGCACCTTGAGGGGCCGCCCCTGCTGCGTGTACAGGCTCATGACATGTGCAAACGTGGCACACATACCTACCGCAAAGAACTGTACCTCGAGCACTTTCAGCGGCCGTCCCTGCTGCGTGTAGAGGCTCATCACGCGTGCAAAGGTGGCGCGCGGCACCGTGTCCAGGTGGCGGCCCATGATTCGCTCCCACGTGCCATCCAGCTCAGCATGGCGCCCCGTAGTAGCCATGGCCTCCATCATAAGATCATACGTGCCGAATGTTCTGCCCTGCCCGCGAGCCAGCATCCACTTGCACACCTGGGTTAACGGGTTAGGGTTTGGGGACGGGGTTGAGGGGTGCAGGCAGGGGAGACGGAAGAATGACCTCAGGTGAGCATGCCGCCCCGTGGCTGGCAGCCATGGCCTCCTTTGTGAGATCATAGGCACCGAATGTTCGGCCGTGCCCTCTTGCGAGCATCCACTTGCACACCTGGGTTTCGGGTTTAAGGGTATGGGTGGGAGTGTGGGTGAGAGAGAGGTGCACGGATGTCATGTGAGCATGGCGCCCCGTGGCAGCCGTGACCTCCCTCACGACTGTTGAGGTGCCTCAAAGGCAGCCACTGTAAACAGTATCCACTGTGCCACCCCCCCCCCCCCCCCCCTCACCTGCAGTATTCTCTTCTCTTCCATTCCCCTCCCAGCTGCATCATCCTGAGGGCCAGCAGGGGAAAGCCGAGCTGGAAGGCGGCCCATGCGTCGTCCAGAGCCCTTCTTGACACCACTGTTATTGCACCTATCTATGCTGTTCTCTCCCCTCCTCACCTGCAGTATTCTCTTCCACTCCCCTCCCTGCTGCATCATTCTCAGTGCGCGCTTCACGGCCAGCAGGGGGAAGTCGAGCTGGAAGGCCGCCCATGCGTCCAGAGCTCGGTACACGTCCTCCTTGCTGTCTGGTACGTCACGGATCTGACAATAACGCGTATGGAAGGAATATGCGCGTTTTGATGGCGGAGTAAGAAGAAAAGTCGGATGTGACAATAACGAGTATGGAAGGGAGTTGGATGCGACAAGGTGAGTGAGTGAGGGTGAATGAGTGAGTGTGTGAGTGGGTGGAAGTGAGTGGTTACATGACTGATCAAGCGACCAAACCAATGAGTGAGAGAGTGAGCGAGGGAGCGAGGGAGGGAGAGAGTGAAGGTGGGAGGGAGGGCGCGTGTGCGTGTGCAAACACACTCACTCACAGCAGCAATGAGAGCATTGGCGCGCCGTCCGATGTTCCGTGTGTCCTTCTTTTTCCATGAGCAGAACACGCGCTGCCATGGGTTGAGGAGGGGGGGGGGGGGGGGGGGGGGGGGTTGGGACGGGGAGAGGGAAGTGAGTCGGTTGGGGAGAAGGGCTGCTTCCCCCTCCATTGTTCTGCGTGTCCTTCTTGCGCCATGAGCGCAACGCACAATGCCATGGGGGAAGGGGAGAGAATGGAGGAGAGGGGGAAAGGGGAGGGGTGGGGAAAAGAGTTGCTTTTCCTCCAATGTCCGCATGTCTTCTTTCTGCCATGAGCAGAAAACTCTGTTGCCATGGGTTGGGGGCGAGGATTGAGATGGGGAAAGGGGGGAGGAGTGGGGGGAAGCGCGCATCCACGATAGAATGCTAGCCAGGTCGACTTTCGAGGATGTGTGAGCAGAAGGAAGCGACTCGATCAGCAGGAAGCGACTCGATCAGCAGGAAGCGACTCGATCAGAAGGAAGCGACTCGATCAGCAGAACGCAACGCGTAGTACCAGCGGCTGTCGCGGCGGCGCGGTAGCGGATTCCCGCTGGCGGGGCGCCGCGAATCGCCCGACTCGCGGAACGAGCGGGTTGCAGAACCGTAGCCCCGAGGACAACGACGTGGCTGTAGCGGGGGTGACCAGAGCGGGCGACGTGACTGTAGAGGGTGTGACGTAAGCGCGCGAAGTGACTGTAGCGGAGGCTAGAGCGCGCGACGTGGCTTGGAGTCGAACAACCGCCCTGGAAGCGGTTAGGCGGAGCATTGGTGGAAGAGACGCGCGGGAGGAATGGAGTCCAGGAAAAGTAGTGAGGTTGGGAGAGGGACTAAGAGAACTAGAGAGTCGAGAATGGTCTAAAGTCGTGACGAGATGACACCACGCCGACGGTCAAATGAGGTTTCACAAACCGTGCGCTGAGGTAGAATAATAGTGGCCTCTTGAGTCGGCTCAAACGAGGAGCACAGCGGAGCTGACTACAATGCGGGAGCTTCGGTAAAAAAACATGCATTGCTGGCTTGGCGTATCGCCTGGTAGGCGTAGGACGACAAAACGCAAGGCTGTGGAGGTGAGGGGTATCGATCCCCTTACCTATCGCATGCGAAGCGATCGCTCTACCATGTGAGCTACACCCCCATGTTTGTCGGGGTAACCTTGTAAAATAAGTTGTAAAGTCTAGCCAAGAAAGGCGCCTCCTTCCACAAAATACGGCGGTTGTCCACAATGGACGTGAGGGAGGCGTTCGAGATCCAGCAGACAGCAAGTTACATCGTGACACGTGGCTTCTCGCGCGTGTGCCTTCAGTTCCCCGACTCGCTCCTCCCGCACGCCGTCTCCGTCCACGACGCGTTAAGAGCCGAATGCGCCGCGCTCATTAGCAGCGAGCATCATGGTGCTTATAACGGGGACTGTGAGACCGAGCCGTTACCTGAAGCTCCACCTGTCACCAACCCAGAGGCTAATGTCGATTCACGTCAAGAAATTGCGTCCCTGAGAACTAGCGATCTGCCTGGGAGTAATCAGCGTGGGAAAAAAGAGCATGGGTCTGGGTTTCCGGGTTTTACGGAGGGTGAAGGAGGGAAGGAGTCAGAGGAGGCAGGTGTAGCTGAATCGGAAGCGCATTTGCGGCCGCCGCAATTTGCGGCGAGGCAGTCGGCGGGACATGCGGCGGATCCTCCGCATCGGGACGTGCCGCATTTCTACGTTTTGGCTGACGCGGCAACCGCCACGTGCAGCAGCTGCTGCGTGGATGAGGTGTCGCCGTGCCACGTCAGCGCTGAGTGTATCGTTCACTACGGCCACGCGTGCATGTCGCGCCGCCCGGCGCGGTTCCCCGTGCGGTACGTACTTCCACGTCAGCCCATCGACGTGGCGGCGTGTGCTGCGGCAATAAAAGCACACTTCAAGAGCAGTAGCGGCAGCAGCAGCGGCACCACCACCACCAATAGCAGCACCCCCGCAAGTACCGGCGCCGATACGAGCGGAGATTCCTCCCCGCGCGCGCTTCCCCGCGTGGTGCTGGTGCTGTTCGCGCTCGAGTTCGCGCACGCCGCGGACGAATTTGCGCTCGCTCTTGGGGGGAGCGGCGGAGCGGAAGCGGCGGAGGCAGAGAGGGAGGGGGACGGGGAGGGGGAAGAAGCGCGGTATGTGGTGGCGCAGGTGCGGGAGAGGGAGGTGGAACCGGAGGAAGGGGGAAAGAGTGGAGGTGCTGACACTTGTGGCGCCGTAAATGGCGGGTGCTGTAACGGCGGTGCCAGAGGGGAGACTGACAGAAGCGCGTGCTGTGGGGGAGCAACAGGCAGGGGCACGTGTGGAAATATCTCTTGTTCTGGTGAAGATATTTCTTCCAATGCTGCTGCTGCTGCTGCTGCTGCCGCTTCGGCTGATGGTGGTGGTACTGCAGCTTCGGTAGCTGCCACTACCCATTCTTCTGCCGCCCAGTGTGCCGCCCAGTGTGCCGCCCCTGGCACTCTTTTCGAACACGGCGGCCTGCGGTGGATGCTGCCGCCCGGGTCGAGCATGGCTGCAGAAGCTGCCAAAAGCAGCAACCCACACAGCAATGAGGAACCATCAGCAGCAGCAGCAGCAGCACCGGCAACAGTGGGGGTGAGAGCAGTGGTGTGGGTGGGCAGCAGCAACGAATGCCCATCTCTCATAACCCTCGCTCTGGAGCACAACCAGACACCCATCCTCAGACTCGACCCCACCCACCTACCCGCTGCTGCTCCTGCTGTCCCTGAAGCTGCTGCTGCCGCTGCTGCTACTGACAGCAGCAGCAGCAACACCGCCCCTCTCTTCCATCCAGTTGACCACTCCCGCCTGCTGCGCCGCCGCTACTTCCTCGTCGAGAAAACCAAGGACGCCTCCATTATCGGCATTGTAGTTATCTCCCAATCTGCCGGCGCTGCCGCCGCCTCCACCCGCGCGACGGTCGCCGCGATTCGCACCGCTGCGGTGGCTGCGGGGAAGAAGGCGTACGTGATTGTGATCAGGCGGCGGATCACGCCCGAGAAGCTCGCGAATTTCCCCGAGTGTGATGTCCTGGTGCTGGTGGCGTGTGCGGAGGGAGTAATACTGGATGGCATGGGGCAGGGCAGCAGCGGTGGCAGTGGTAGCAGTAGTGGCAGCAGGGCGTTTTACGCGCCGGTGGTGACGCCGTTTGAGGCTCTGATGGCTCTGGAAGAAGGGCGGGAGTGGACGGGGGAGTATCGGATGCTGCTGGATGGTGCTGGGGTGGGGGGGGGCGGAAGAGGAGGAGCGGTGAGGAAGGGAGAGGCAGGCTCAGGGGAAGGAACTGGGGAAGGTGGGGAGGATGCGGCTCCGCGGTTCTCCTTTGTGAAAGGATCGCTGGTATCCCCCGCTCCTCACAAACCATCGTCTGCAGCACCATCAGCAGCAACAACAGCAGCAGAATCGAATCAATCAGCTTTGGCCGTCCGGCAGGACATGGCTCTTTCTACTCTGCCCGTTTCATCCGACTCCTTGGCCCTGGCTCAGGCGTCCGGCCAATCGGGGTACGCCACGTCAGCGGCAGTGGAGGCGCGATCGGGATCGGAGTTTTTGGCACTGCGGCGTGACTATAAGGGGCTGGAGGTGCCCTGGTTCATGGCTCCTGGTGGGACGCCCAGGGAAGGGGGAGGGGATGCAAGAGGGAGAGGGGATGAGGGCGGAAGGGAGGATGGGGGAGCGGTGGGTGCTTTCATGCCGAATGTGGCTCCGGCTATTGATGCAGTGAGGGTGGTGGAAGGGAGGGAGGGGCGAGCAGCAGGGTATGTGGATGAGCCACTGCAGGGATAAGGGAAGGTGATAGTAGTGTTGGTGTGTGTGACTATAAGGGGCTGGAGGTGCCCTTGTTCATGGCGCCTGGTGGGATGCATGGGGAAGGGGGAGCAGGAAGGGGGTGAAGGAGCAGGAAGGGTAGGGCACTGAGTGGTCAGGGAATGGCCAATGGGTGGGGGGGGAGGGGGAGGGGTTGGTGAAGCTGTGGGGGTGCTTTCGTGTCGAAAGTGGCTCCAGCGATTGAGGCGGTGAGGGTGGTGGAGGAGGGGAGGGAGGGCCGTGCTGCAGGGTATGGGGATGAGCCACAGCAGGGATAAGGGAGGAGGATGGTTGCCAGTTGGTAGGAGGGGCAATTGTCGGTGCTTGCCGTGGGAAGGCCGGGCAGGGGCGGGTGAAGGAGAAGCAGGGGGCGGGGGAGTAATGAGGGGTCTTGTTTGATGTTATGACAAAGTGGGAACTTTTAATCATATACCTGCAGTTTGAGAAACGTCATTCACCTGTGTACAGTAAAGTGCAGTTGATTCAGGTACCGTATGAGTGACATGACATGTATGAAATCATGGCGGTGTTTTAACGCACACCCTTGTATCGAAATCGTTCAGCCTCTCCCTCGATCTTGCAGCGTCTGCTCTGCTCCTTTCCCGTCGCGTCCTCCTACCCTCTGCTTCCCGCACCCCAGCTCCTCGTCAACTCAGGCGAAACGTTCCAAACCTCTCGCAATCGCTATCTAACCCACTTCACCATTCCTTGTCAAGTATTTTGTGCACGCTGGGTGACTTCCCACACAAGATTCCAGATTTGCAAGTCGAGGCAGCAACTTTTGCGCAGTGCAGGGAACGAAAATGACCCACCCCCCCGAGCATGTCGCATTCTCAGTGTTGACAATGGGACAGAGCAGCCGTTTGAACAACCAGCGATAGAATACCAGGCACCTAGGTCGTGATGACAAGTGCGCTCGAGTCTAAATGACGAGTGCATCTGCATGATTGTTGTGATGAATGCATAGCGTCTATTTAAGAATTGCGTGATTACCACTGGCGACGTGGGAGCTTGAGATACTTCATTTTCCATGGCAGCGTTGCAGCCTACTGGCGAACTGAGAGAGCGCGCCGAGCGACGGGAGAAGAAGAGACAGAAGAACAATGCTGACACGGAAGGCAAGGACTGCTGTTGTTTAGCGACGCAGCATCCCACTTCTCACCTTCACATTCCGAACGAGAAGCACCTAAATTTCAACTTCCTGCTTAGATAACTTATCTGAAATAAAGATTTGAGAGTTTCAGTGAACTCTTCCAGGCATTCCTTGACACTAGTTCCTCTCCCGTCCACCTCCTTCTTTTCTCTCCTCCCTCTGTTAATCTCCGCTCCTGGTTTTGCTTCCTCACGAGCTATACGCGCACTGCGAAACAACTACCTAGCACCTCATTCAGTGCCAATCCCAGTTTAATCCTAACCGTTTCACCCTGCTCCATTTTTTAAGTCGTTTCCTCTTTCTCCTCCTCTTTGTCACTCATACTGGGGAAGAGTATCAGAAAATTAGATCGTGGGGTAGATAAACCCGCATCTTCAATACGTCATTCTCATTCTCTGCACCATGGAGTTTTTTTTTGTGATGGTAAGGTGAGCTGGGGCCTTACGATAAGTGCTCGAAGCACTTCACGTGCTTCAAATGAGATGCTCAAACGGAGAACTCAGAGAAAAATGCGATTTTTTTAGGCGGTTACTCAAAATCAGTTCCATTCCACAGCCATTCGCGAGTGCTTTCGCCGTACATACCCGTTTTCAAGGCTTGAGAATCGCAGCCGCTACGAAAACAAACATCTACTCAGATTTTTTTTCAAAATAACTCTATTCCCAATTGCTTCCCACCCATCTCACCCTTCCCACCCATCTCACCCTTCCCACCCATCTCACCCTTCCCACCCATCTCACCCTTCCCACCCATCTCACCCTTCCCACCCATCTCACCCTTCCCACCCATCTCACCCTTCCCACCCATCTCACCCTTCCCACCCATCCCACCCTTCCCACCCATATCACCCATCTCTCCTTCCAGCCGCCACCCCCAGCGATTACATAGACAGGCTGCCGGCGAACCTCTGGCACAAAGTCTTCCGCTGCCTGCTGCTGCCACCAGGCTCCTCCCACCCCGAGACTCCCCTTGTCCGGGGCAGACAAAATACTCCCTGGTATCTCGCCGCCACAGAGCAGCCCACAGCGCGCAAAAACCTGCCCGTGAGATTTGCGGGCCCTCATTGTTCAGCAGCCGGGCAGCACTGGAAGAACGCGAGGAGCTATGGCAGTGGGTGGGCGCTGCTGTGCTGCGGCATGGCCAGCAAGAGGCTCCTCTACCACGTGCTCTCCTTCTCTGTGAGTTGTGCTCTGCTCTGCTCCTCACTGCACTTGCTCTGCCCTGCACTTGCTCTCCTTTACTTCGAAACGCACGCCCTTTTAAGTCCCACCATGCTTCCGGTGCCTCCATTCCTTCGCCCGTCTCTCCCACCACCCCTCTCTGCAGGCCCACCACCCCATCGCACTGGTCTACAACGAGCTGCATCCACCCGCAGTGGATCAAGAGTGCTGCCTGCTTCCTGCGCTGGCGCCGAGCTGACTTCTGAGAGTCAACTCAAAAGCCAATAACCAATCCCATCCGTCCCTCCCTCTCTGCAGGCCCACCACCCCATCGCGCTGGTCTACAACGAGCTGCACCCGCAGTGGATCAAAAGCGTCACTTTCTTCGTGCGCTGGCGCCGCAGCCTCAGGTCCCTCGCGCTCACCTTCACGCACTTCAAGCAGCTCGACAAACTCCGCTCGCCGCTCAACCGGACCTTCGCCTCCCTCACCTCGCTCACTCTCAAGCTGCGCGGCTGTGTCGACAAATCCTACCTGAATGCTGAGTACCACCAAATAGAGGACATTCCCTGGACCCGCACCTTGGACTGCCCGGGTCTGCAGCGGCTGAAGCTCGGCCGGGGCAGGTGGAACCTGCAGCACGGCTGGGCTGAGGGGTTCAAGTCGCTGCGCAGTTTGACTCTCAAACACGTGGATTGGGATGGGAGTATGCGGATGTTAAGTATTTAGGCACGGTTACACCACGGCTGACGGAATTCACTCTCTATCATAGCTGGAATTTGGAGGACCCATCCCCAGGCCCCGGTGGCGGCGGCACATTCCGTTTCGACTTATCGAAGGCTCAAACCGTCCGCTTTTACTTCCCCCAGAGCAGCCTCCAGCTCTTCCTGACCCTCTCTAGCTCGCTCGAGACCTTCTCAGCCATGGCAAAGAGGCTCGTGCTCTCTTGCAAGAGCACCGAACCTCTTGCTCTCCAGCACCTCTCGCTGTACGGCCAGCAACAGCTTGTCATCTCCTCCCTCCACCTCGCTTCCGTACAAGTGGCCTACCTCAACGGCCCTCCCAAAGACCTGCACTCCCACGATGACCACCACTCTTATGACCCCTACTCTTCCAACATGGACTTGTATGAATTGCCGTCTGAACTTTCACCTGAACTTTCTCCTGACAGGCAGAGCATGCACCGCCGCAGCTCTGCTGAGTTCTCCTGGGTTCAATGGTTGGGCACTATAGCGCCAACAGTGGAGGTGCTTATAGTGAGGCATGGGGTGCCTGTAGAGGGGGTTGACGCTGAGTGGAGCAGCCTGCGCAGCCTTGGGATTGTCGTGGAGAGTGAGGAGCGGTCTGAGGTGGATTTGAAGGTTGAGAAGCGTCGGGATGATGGTGAGAGGGAGGTTACAGTCGAGGAGTTTCAGGAGCGCGATGGGAGGCTCTTGCAGCAGCAGCGGCAGCAGGAGCGTCAGCAGCAGCGGCAGGAGCAGCAGCTTTTGCAGCAGCGGGTTTTGCAGCTGCAGCAGCAGCAGCAGCAGTGGCAGCGGCAGCAGCAGCAGCAGCAGCATCGGCAGCAGCAGCCGCAGCGGCAGCGGCAGCGGCAGCAGCAGCAGCAGCTTTTGCAGGAGCAGCAGGAGCAGCAGCAGCAGCAGCAGCAGCAGCTTTTGCAGGTTTTGCAGCAGCAGCAGCAGCAGCAGCAGGGGGAGGAGGAGGAGGAGGAGGAGCAGGAGGGGCAGCAGCAAGATGTAAGGCCTCCGTTTATCTTGGCTCCAAACTTGCGATCAATCTTCTTCCCCACCCGCACATGCGAGCAGCAAACCCTTACTTCCCTCCGCGAATTCTGTCCCTCTCTTGCCCTGTACTGCATCTCACGTCGCTCGTTCTACTGGGAGAAGCAGAGGAAACAGTTGCCTGAGGCCCCCGTGGTGCACGTGAGGAAGGCGAGAAGCGGGGTGCCATGCGCTTGCTTTGCAGAGAAGCGGCCGAAGCACGTGAGGGAGAAGATGCACAGTGTGAATAGGGAGCTGGTTGATGGGTACAGTGTTGATAAAGAAGAGGCTTATATGTGGAAGTACAAAGGGAGCCTGTGGAAGACCGAATACAGCTCGGACCGCCTCTAGCATTCGTAGTTGCAGACATGCGGACTGCCTCTAGCATTCGTAGTTGCAGACATGCGGACCGCCTCTAGCATTCGTAGTTGCAGACATGCGGACCGCCTCTAGCATTCGTAGTTGCAGACATGCGGACTGCCTCTAGCATTCGTAGTTGCAGACATGCGGACCGCCTCTAGCATTCGTAGTTGCAGACATGCGGACCGCCTCTAGCATTCGTAGTTGCAGACATGCGGACTGCCTCTAGCATTCGTAGTTGCAGACATGCGGACTGCCTCTAGCATTCGTAGTTGCAGACATGCGGACTGCCTCTAGCATTCGTAGTTGCAGACATGCGGACTGCCTCTAGCATTCGTAGTTGCAGACATGCGGACTGCCTCTAGCATTCGTAGTTGCAGACATGTCAATAGAGGTAATGGATATTGTGGAAGGGAGTGGTGTAGAAGAATAATGCATAATAACTACGCGGGAGTACTGAATGCTGTCACCGCGCTCCGATCCGCAGCCGTAGCCGCATCCGTAGCCGCAGGAAAGAAGGCGTACGTGATTGCGATCAAGATGGATCACGCCCGACAAGCTCGCGAATTTCCCGGAGTGTGACGTGCTGGTGCTGGTGGCGTGTGCAGAGGGGGTGCTGCTGGATGGCATGGGGCAGGGCAGCAGTGGGAGCAGTGGCAGCAGCGGTTGTAGCAGCGGTGGCGGGAGTAGGGCGTTTTATGCGCCGGTGGTGACGCCGTTTGAGGCACTGATGGCGCTGGAAGAAGGGCGGGAGTGGACGGGAGAGTACCGGATGATGCTGGATGGTGCTGGGGTGGGGGGGCAAGGAAGAGGAAAAGTGGTGAGGGAGGGAGAGGGAGGTTCAGGGGAAGAAACTGGGGAAGGTGGGGAGGATGCGGCTCCACGGTTCTCCTTTGTGAAAGGATCGCTGGTATCCCCCTCCCCTCACAAACCATCGTCTGCAGCACCATCAGCAGCAACAACAGCAGCAGAATCGAATCAATCAGCTTTGGCCGTCCGGCAGGACATGGCTCTTTCTACTCTGCCCGTTTCATCCGACTCCTTGGCGTCCGGCCAATCGGGGTACGCCACTTCAGCGGCCATGGAGGCGCGATCTGGATCGGATTTTTGGCACTGCGCGTGACTATAAGGGGCTGGAGGTGCCGTGGTTCATGGCTCCTGGTGGGACGCCCGGGGAAGGGGGAGGGGATGCAAGAGGGAGAGGGCATGAGAGTAAGGGAGGGGATGAGGGAGGAAGAGGGGATGGGGGAGGGGTGGGTGCTTTCATACCGAGAGTGGCTCCGGCGATTGATGCAGTGAGGGTGGTGGAGGGGAGGGAGGGCCGTGCTGCAGGGTACGTGGATGAACCACAGAAGGGATAGGGAAGGATGATTTGAGCGATTATAGCCTCTATAAGGGGTTGGATTGGAGGTGGCCTGGTTAAGGAAATCTCGTGGTACACCCTGGGGGTGGGCGAGCAGGGGGTGGTGAAGGAGCAGCAGGGGAGGGTAGGGTGGTGGTAAGTGCTAGAGAGGCATAGTGCCGTCGTAGCGGAAGCCTTGATTGTATAACAAGACAGAACATAAAGTTTGCAATGGAATTGATTGATGCACTGGAATGACAGAGCAGGGTATTTATGTCTGCAGCTAACCCCCTCAGAATGGCCCTATCCACACCAATAATGCCACACCAATAATTCTACCCGCCAATAATTCTTACCCTCCAATAATTCTAGACTCCAATTATTCTGGCCCTCCAATAATTGTACAATTATTGGAGGGCTGGGAGTCTTATAAAGGAACACTACAGTAAAATCTAACAGCATTTGTATTATCTTATGTTTGTATATTTAACACTCCCCCTTGCTGTAGGTTTTACTGAGTTTTGTCTTGGAGGACACCTGTAAACGGCGCTGATTGCGGTAGTAATTTTGGTCACGGCGTTGATTGCGGAGAGGATTGGGGCGACTGTTGTGTTCGAGGATCACGTCAGCGATGATCGCGGCGACCTGATTTTGGTGCAGGGTTTCCGTTGGGACAGCGTCAGGTGGGTAGGTCAAGATGTCGTGTAGCGAAATTCTGCACGATCCTCGTCAGGTGTGCACCGTCCATCCTTGTCACACCCTTGTTTCAATTTGTCGCCTATCACAGCTGCCGTTTCTCCCACACCCCTCAATCCGCAGGGGTTCTCTCGAAGCTGGTCATTCTGCCTCAATTTCTCGCTCTTGTTACTCCAAGCTCCTTCCAACTTCAGATCTGCTAGTGAGGTTTTCTCGAGCCATGGCTGCTGCTAGCGCGAAATGCTGTTCTAGTCCAGCGCGACCTGCAGTAACATCATGACTTAACATTCATGTCGCGCGACTGCTGCAAATGTCGCGCGACTGCTGCAGATGTCGCGCGACTGCTGCAAATGTCGCGCGACTGGTGCTCATGACGTGCAGCTGCAGTAGAGACACGGCGACAGCCTCCAGCAGCGTCTAGGTCATGTGCGTTTTCGCAGTTGTGCGGCGACAGCAGTGCGTGACGGCCGCGGTTGATGCATTTCTGGCGCGCTTCCACTTCACCGTGCGTGCCCCGCTGCTTCTCCTGGCACGCGGTCGCGGATCCGCAGCTGCACGTACATCGTGGCAGCAGCAACTGACAACGGCGGCGGCAGCTGACGACGATGGCAGTCAAGCTGCAGTAGCAGCGTGCACCCGCCACCAGAGGCTGCGGACGGCAGACGCACGCCGTGCGTGGCAGCCGCAGCGACAGCTGCAGTGAAAGGTGCTGGCGGACGGCTGCCACTCCCGGCGGCGCACGGCTGGCGGCGTAAGGCTGCTGCATAACCCTGATACCCGCGGCTGCACCTAGCTGCGGACGCTGCAGCTGCAGGATTGACGGTTGGCCTCACACACCGTTGAAACTCCTGGTACATGGCTTTCTCCTTCCTGCCGAGGTGAGAATGCTTAGTTGAACCTGTCAGTTTCACCCATGTTACCCTGTTACTCTGTGCTGCTCCCATGACCCTGCGCTGCTCCCCATGACCCTGCGCTGCTCCCCGTGACCCTGTGCTGCTCCTCATGACCCTGTGCTGCTCCCCGTGACCCTGTGCTGCTCCGTGTTACCCTGTCCTGCTCCCCCTATACTAGGTGACGCCCGGAGGCAGCTGCAACTGGTACGCAAGCACCTGGCGGCTGCTTCTACTCCTGGCGGCTGCTTCTGCTCCTGGCGGCTGCTTCTGCTCCTGGCGGCTGCGTCTGCACCTGGCGGCTGTTTCTGCTCCTGGCGGCTGCTTCTGCACCTGGCGGCTGCTTCTGCACCTGGCGGCTGCTTCTGCACCTGGCGGCTGCTTCAGCAAACGTCTACCAGCAGCACCACCTGACTGGAGGCAGCAGCATCACCTGGTCGCCTGCAGCAGCTCCCCCTGATGCGCTGGCCGCTTGCACTGGTGCAACGCGAGCAGCGACTGACGAGTGGGAGCGGTGTCAGCAGCACCTGCGTCACCATGGTGAGTGGTGGGCAGCACCAGCAGCACCTGTCTCCAGCTGCAGTTGTATTTAGTAGGACTTTTTCAGCTGCTTCTTGTGATGCCCTCTGTCTCTGTTGTCTTGGACAATTTTCTTGACTCATGTTGTCTTGTGTCTTCTCCCCCTGAAACCAGCAGGCATTTGAAATATTCAGGAACGGCTGCTGCATTTGGCGAGTGGTTGTGACCGACCAGCAGCTGCGACTGTCCAGCATAATATTTATGGCTGCTCTTGTCACTGATTGGAGTAGGTCTTCTCATGATGCATATGTGCTGACTCTTGTGATGACGAAAATGAAAGATGGTCTTGAAATCTAATCCTGATTTGTTGCACCCCAAGATGCTCCACACCCCACTCCCCCTCTCACTCGTGTGTTTGTAGTCATGCACATGCGTGAGCATGCACACAGCACCAAACACATGAGTGAGATGTGTGGAGTTACGTTACGCCTTGTTGTCCAGCGCCTCTTAAGAAGCCTGAACATGTGAGTGCAGCTCCAGTGCATTCAAGCTGCTGACTGGTTGCAGGGGTTGTTCCAGGCGGAATTGGTTGAAGACCGCACAAGAGGCTGCAGGTGAGATGTTGCTTTGCTGTGATGGGCTTGGTGAGGTAATCAGCCGCTTGCTGAGCTGTCGGGCAGAACTCTGGCCACACAACACCATCGCGGACTGCCTTCTGCGTCCAATGGTAACGGACTTCCATGTGTTTGATGCGTTGACTCATCTGCTCCCCTGTTGCAAGTGCAATAGCGCTTTGGTTGTCCACAAAGATGACAGTGGGTTCTTGCTGTGAGAAACCGAGGTCTTCACACAAACGCCGAAGGTAGGTAGCTTCTCTTGCCCCTTCGAACAGTGCAATGTATTTCGCTTCAGCTGTTGATGTTGCAATGACCGTTTGTCGCTTAGTCCTCCAACTGACAGCAGCTCCTCCCAAGGTAAACACGTAGCCTCCAACCGAGTGACACCCCACTTCGTTCGCATAGTCTGAGTCCGTGTATCCTCGGAGTACCAAGTCCCCTCCTCCATAGACCAGCCCCACGTCCGCAGTGTTCTGTAAGTATTTGAACACCCTTTGGATTCCAAGCACTGTTGCTGCTGTTGGCTTGCTTGCTTGTCTGGCCAGCACATGCGTTGCATATGTTATATCCGGTCTCCCTGCTGTTGAGATGTATAGTAATGTCCCCACTTGTTTTAGCACCAATTGACTGTCAATCTCGTCTGGTGGTTCTCCTTGTGGTCCAGGTTCCTTGGTGATTGGCGTCCTGATTCCGGAGCGAATGCCTTCCATCCCGAAGGTCGCCAAAGCCTGTGAGATGTACTTTGTGAGTCCGAGCAAGATCGAGTCGTTGTCAGCAGCGACGTTGAGCCCCAAAAACTACGTCATGGTCTTGCTGATGGTCAAGGTAAAGTTCTGCTTCATGTGCTGAATCACAGCTTCAATGCCTTTGTCGTCATGTCACTGGATGAGGATGTCGTCAACGTAGGTGAGTAGCCACACCGTGTCCTTTCCTTCTCTTTTCCAGATAAATAAGGACGGGTCAGATGCGGATTGCACCATGTCCAGCTCCAACAAGACAACCGTAAGTGCCGATGCCACAAACGTGGTGCTTGTTTCAGTCCATACACAGTTCTTTTGAGTTTCCAGACTTTGTCTCCGTCCCGCCTTGGTTCTGGTGGTCTCACGTATATGTCCCGGTCGATTGGGGCGTACATGAATGCGTTGGAGATGTCCAGTTGCACCACCTTCCGCTGTGTAGTAGATGCACCAGCAACGAACATGCGAGAGGTAGGTCCTTGGCTGACCGGTGCATACGTCCCATCGTATATTCCCCATGTCTGTCCGCATCCCTTGACCACCCAGCGCGCTTTAAACCGGTTTGGCTGTCCGTGCTCATCTCGTTTCACCCTTCCGTCAGCACCGTCGTTCCTTTTGGTACGTCCGCTCTGTCCACCACCTCGTATGCTTCCAGCTCATCGAATTTAGCCAATTCTGCATCCACCGCGGCTTGCCAAAGAAGTGCGTACGGGTCTTTTGTCATGTCCTTGAGCGTTTTGGGCTCCTTGTACGTCAAGTCCACCATGGGGATGCCGGCTGCTGCACATCCTAGTACGTGTTGCTGCAGGTTGGGAAGGGTGTTGAACGCTTGTGTTGCCCGTTGTTTCCCAAACAGCACGTCCAGTCCTGTCATGCCGTCCGTCCCTTGTCCTTCTCTTCCAAGCACAGCCACCGTTGGGTTGAAGTGAACCCGTCGTGGATTTGCGTCATGAGCTGCCAGCTCGATTCCATCAGGTGGGTACGCAAAGTCATAGAGATGACTTGCCTCATTCTCCATGTCGTTGCTTTCAGCAACTTCAGGAACAGAGACGCCTGCTGGAGGTAAGTCACTTGCTGCAGCCCCTTCTCCTGTTTCGGCTGCATCGCCAATGGGTGAGTCCTCTTGAGTTGCGTCAACTTCCTGTCCTCGTGTGGGTGAGGTGTTCGTGGGCGATGTAGGCGATGGTGGAGATGCGGGAAAGGAGTCAAACTCGGAGCCAAAGCCTTCGCCCCCTGAAGTCCAGCCGTCAATGTGCGGTGAGACTTCTTCCAAGTAGCGTTGGCGTTCGAGTACTGATTCAGCGTCCGGTAACATGAGGTCATCAAAGAAGCGAGCCGAGCGTGTGTCCGTGTCAACATCGCTTGCCAAGTCCCGCACGATCCATGCCTTCCGTGAGTTAGACAGGCCGAGAAACATGCCTGCCCGGCCTCTCTGCTCAAATTTCCCGAAGCTGCCTTGGGGAGGGAGATAGTAGCACAGGCAGCCAAGGGTCCTTGCCATTGAGACATCTGCCGCCTTTCCCGTCATCATGAAGTATGGTGAGTGTGCCGATGGGTTGC